AATTTGTGCTAATTTTCTATATATTTATTTTTTAAAAATATAATTTTATATATTTTTTCGGAATTATTTTCGGACCAAAAATTTATCCTATAAAACAAAAATTATATTTCTTTTTTCGCTTTGAATATTATTACCATAATTTAATTTATATATATATATTTTTTGCATCGAAATATCATTTATCCGGTTTTATTTTCTATTTTTTATTAGTATATATTTTTTATACTGATTTAGTACTAGAATTATTTTTGTACATTTATATAACAATATTTATATTTCAAGGATTAGTCAAGAACCATCCAAAAACATCCAAGAATCCATCAATAGTTGTCATCGAAAAAAAAAAAACTTAAAAATATGAAAAATACGTAATTATTGAAACATTTTTCGCATTAAAATAATTCCTTTTTTTCGGAACAACATTCAACCTGAACCTCAAGACGATAACCTGAATCCTTTTGCCCAGGCCCGGTAGACAAAGCCTTGGAGGATTTGCGGCACCTGTGGGCGCAAGTGGCTTGCGGTTGCCTTTTTCATGGCGAGCGCAGTACATAGAGCCCCCCTGGCCCCTGTAGTTGTGGGTGTAATCTGCTGAAATTAGTCTAATGGGACATTTTATAGAGCAATAAAGTATAACTTCACTTTGGTGAGAGGTATTATCGTATAATTTACTTTGGTGTAATGTATGTGATGTTTAAGAGCATATATATTTCAGAGATCTTAATTTAAAATTAGGTATAAGAATATAGTTTGTTGCACTCGTCCGTATACTTTTTAACTTCAAAACAAAAAAAAAACTTATTTTAAATCGGAAATACACTTTTTAACATCACCGTTTCCTAAAGGGGGCCGACAAATTTTCTTCGAAATATACTTAGCGACAATAACACAGATTTCCTCATTTTTTATCTGACCAAATGATTCCGCTCTAACCATTACAGGGAGCCTACTTTTCAATATCCGGAGCCACAAACCATTGGGGGAATGACCTAAAATTTTTTTCATTTTCTTCTGCTTATGTGGTGGAGTGGAGTGTACTGGAGTATAGATGTGTGTAGTTGTAGTGTCGTGTAGTGTGGTACGGTGAAGTATAG